TAGTGTTCAAAACTGCCCAGATTGTGTTTTTAAGGCAGTTTTGAGTGTTTTGGTGCTGTTTTGAGTCTTTTGGTTTGTTTTGGTGTTTTAAAGTTTAGTTTTGCATTCTTTGAGTCTAGTATAGTGTTTTAAACTTGTTTTTACGTATTTGAGTCAGTTTCCAAGTGATTAACAATCCCTCCTAATCCCCGGTCCAGAACGATCCCTACTTACATTCTTCACTACAATTGATAAAAAGAGGGTTTAATTTGTGTGCGTAGAATTCTCACATCAAATTTTGGCGCCGTTGCCGGGGATTAGCAACTTTGCTAATCCCTTGGATTGTTTTATTTTCGTTTGTTTTATTCCAGATTCTTAATCTTGTTTTGTTTCTTGTTTTAGGTACTAGTTTATGACTCGGAGTTCTCATCCGATTCGTGAACATATCTTGAACTTTGACGACGATTTCGAGCGAGAGTTGAGACGAAAGAGAAAGAACCCAGAACCTAGCGAATCAAGTGAAAGTTCTGAGTCCATTTCTGAATTTGAAGAAGAGGAACCCACGACAAGAGTGGGTGAAGTAGACATGGCAGCGGACAACCGAACAATCAAGGAGCTTTCTGCTTCGGGATTGGGTACTACTTAGAAGGCGTTTCATCATATAGTTCCAAATGCTAGAACTCATGCCCATTTCATTCAAAGCATGTTATTGATTTGCATAACACATATTCAAGAAGAAGTTGTGTAGTGACCACCACCAAAGCCAAATTGCCGTGTATCCTACTTCATTATATGTTTAAGTTAACCCCATTGAGCCTTGTTAAGCTTACATTCTTTGTTAACCCACACTATCCTGACCTAGCCTAGTTTAGGACAGTCCACACCCTTCTTCTTAAAAGATAGTGAGCATGACTTAAATGAATTCCTTTTGAGTTACATTATGAAAGAAAATGAGTGCGGGGGAGAGAATGTTTGTTCTTAAGTGTTTATGTATGTTTTGAGATTGAAAAGAAAAGAAAAACAGAAAAGAAAAGAAAGAAAGAAAGGAAAAAAGCTTGAAAAAAATGAAAGAATGAGTGATTAAGTGTTGAATGTTGAAGAAAGGGTCCAAAACACCAATTCTGGCCCTAAATTGTCTAAATTCTCCCTTTTTGTTCAAAAGTTGAGTTTTCATTCAAAAGTGAATTCTAAGTTGATTCAAGTGAAAATCGAGTGCATATCTTGTGAAAATCGAGTGACACCATATGAGTGAAAATCGAGAAATTGTGAAAATCGAGTGAAAATCTGAGTGTGTAGTTAACTCTTAGAGAAATTGTGTCACTTTTGGGTTCACTTTTGGGTTCACTTTTGGGTTCACTTTAGGGTGTGTAGTTAGAAAATCTGAGTGAAAATCGAGTGCATATCTTGTAAGGAATTGAGCAAATTCTCTAAGGCATGTTACTACATTCAAAACATGGTTTTAAATGCTTAATTGTGAACTAGTATGTGGTGACTATGATTAAGAATGTACTTAAGTGTGAAGATGACTAAAATCTGTGGGAATGATGATTTTTAACATGTCATGTGCATTGGAAATCCCTGAGGCAAATGTTGGAAGGTGTAGGTTGTGTTTTGTTCGTTTTGTCTGGTTTCGTGTTCTTTTGTTGTTTTGTTTTGCTCGAGGACTAGCAAAAGCTAAGTGTGGGGGAATTTGATAGGAGCATATTTAGGCGACTTACTTAGCTTGTTTTCGTGCATTTATATTGTTAATTCCTAGTTGTTTTAGTAGTTTAAGCCATTTTCGTGTGTTTTTAGGTTCATATGGCTAAGGAAGCAAAAAGATGCATTTTGGAGCATTTTGGAGCAAAATTGGACTTGGAATGGATAGCTTATGTTTGGAGCAAAAGGAATGGACGAAATTAAAGACTCCAAGTTTCAGCAATATCAAGGGCTCCTACCTATTCTAGGTCACAAAACTTGTAACCTTAAGCAATGCTGTGTGTTTCCTTGTGTCTCCCTTCCTTGCCATACAAGGAAGGGCTTTGTTCCCTATTTTAAACACTTAAACACCTTACTTTCTCATACCTATTTCAGCCATAACCCACATGCACTCTTAATCATTCATCCATTTTCTCCCATTTCTATATCACACAACCATTGCCGTGCACATTCACCCCTAATTCCAGCCATCCCACTTCATCATTTCAGCCACCATGACATTATTCCTTCATCATTGCACCACATTCCAGCCTTGCCGTGCATAACCCACCACATAAATCATCACATGCACCCAAACAAGCCTTTGTCGTGCATAACCTTGGCAATTCCAGCTTTCCACCAAGCAACCTAGCTGTCATTCCACATGCATTCCCCTTGCAATTCCAGCCATCCCACTTCATCATTTCAGCCACCATGACATTATTCCTTCATCATTGCGCCACATTCAGCCATTCACCCCTTTCTCCACACCTTGCCGTGCACATGCATTCCCCTTTTGCAATTCCAGCTTTCCACCAACCAACCTAGTTGTCATTGCACATGCATTCCCTCTTTAATCATTCTTTCCTAGCTGTTTTTCACATGCATTCCCTTCATTATTTCAGCCACACATTCAGCCATTCTCCCTATAAAACCATGCATTCCCTCACCATCAAAGGAGGATCCCTTGGTGCCGTGCATCCAACCATTCCACACATCCATTCACCATAGAAATTCTTCCATAATCTACACCATCACACAACCATTGCCGTGTTTCCCCTTCCATTTCCACCACTCCCCACTCCATTCCACATACAAATACCCTCCAAAACACTATCCTTAGACCTTGTGCCACAACAAAGAGGAGGAGAAGAGTGCCTAAACGTTCATACAATTCAAGTTTGAGTTGTTGGAATTTTTAGGTGTTTTCTCTCCTTGATATTCAATGATTAAATTTACTTATCTTTGTCTTGTACGTATGAGGAACTAAACCCCCCATGGCTAAGGGATGCTTTGAAACCATGATTACATTTATAATATGAGTTGATTAAGTCCAGTTGTGATTTCATAAATTGTGAACGCAATTTACTTAACCGTTTGACGGATAACTTATTCTTGTATGTTTATTAGGGAGGCCTACTTAATTTGCATGCTTGAATTTGGAGCTAGAATATTAGGGTGTTTCACCTAATCGTCACAAACTAATATTCACAAGTAGTTAAGGTTGTTTTCACAATCATGTTAAGTAAATTCTTGGCATAAGTTTCATGCAATCATAGTAACAAGTGCTTCGTCAATGCTTATGGTTTTCATAGAACTTAATGATTCTTGCTTGTATCTCTATTATGCAATCATGTAGGGGACTTGTGGGGAATGTTTTGGGTTGTCGTATGCAATCATCCAATTCAATAACGTTAGGAAAATCTGAGGGTTAATTAGTGCAATTCACGGTTAATCTGGGGTGTTAAGGTTCATGGTTTATCGGAAAAGCAACTGGAAATCAATTTATGTTAGAAAGTATCATGTGTGGAGAAGTATCCCTTGGCTATCCCATCATCCATTAGTTTTTCTTATTTTCGTCCAAAATCTGTTTTAAAGTTTTAAGTCACTTGTTCTCTTTTAAATTCGTCCAAAATCAAAACCCCCCTTCTTATTTGTTCCAAATCTGTCCAAAAGAGTCCTTTTGAATCTTTAGAGTCAAAACCAAGTGTATTTTCGTCCAAATTAAGTCCTAGAGTCTAAATTGAGTCTTTTTGGTTGTTTTTGGTTGTTTTGAGTCTTTAAAGTTTGTTTTGAGTCATATTAGTTAGTAAGAGTCTTGTGAGTCTATTTAAAATGTTTGAAAACATATTTTTACATCTTTGAGTCAATTTTCATTAGATTAGCAATCCCTCCTAATCCCCGGCCTAGAACGATCCCTACTTACATACTTACTACAACTGATAAAAAGAGGGTTAATTTGTGTGCGTATAATGTTCGCACCAGAAGATTAACGTATATAATGGCAATTTGACAATGGAATTTGATGGGGAAGTTATTAAGTTCAATCTTTCTGATTCTATGAAGTACCCTAGTGAGAATCATTCTTGTTTTGCTATTGATATAATTGATTCTTTGGCGCAGGGCCATTTGGACAATTTGAAGGACGATGCACTTGAATTGGTTATTGCACAAGGAAGGGACATGCAAACCATCGAAATAACCACCAAGGAACCCCACGGCATGCATGAGGAGTCCTTGGCCGTGCCCCCTAGTGAAGATATGATTGAGATGGTGGCTGCCCTCGAGTCATTGCCATCACATTCAGGTAAGTTTTTGGACCCTATTTTAAGTTCAGTTTCGGCTAATAAAATGCTTCCCTCAGTTGTGCAGCCACCTACACTTGAACTTAAGCCGTTGCCGAGTCACTTGAAGTACGTGTTCTTGGGAGAGGATGAGACATTGCCCATCATCATTTCATCCTCACTCATGGCACAAGAGGAGAACAAATTGGTGCGAGTACTTAAAGAGTACAAAACGGCAATTGGATGGACTTTGGCCGACATAAAGGGAATCAGCCCTACTCTGTGCATGCATCGCATTCTTCTAGAGGAGGGGTCCAAAACATCTCGAGAGGCTCAACGCCGTCTCAACCCTCCGATGATGGAAGTAGTGAAGAAAGAGGTAATCAAATTACTTGATTGTGGAGTGATTTATCCTATTTCTGATAGCAGGTGGGTTTCGCCCGTGCAATGCGTTCCAAAGAAATCCGGAGTGACTGTGGTTGAAAATGCCGAAAATGAGCTTGTTCCTACGCGCATTCAAACTGGTTGGAGGGTGTGCATCGATTATAGGAAACTAAACGCCACCACAAGGAAGGACCACTTCCCATTGCCGTTCATTGACCAAATGCTCGAAAGGTTAGCGGGTATGCTTTCTATTGTTTTCTTGATGGTTACTCTGGTTATAATCAAATTGTCATAGCACCCGAGGACCAAGAAAAAACAACTTTCACGTGCCCTTTTGGTACATTTGCATATCGTCGCATGCCTTTTGGTTTATGTAATGCACCTGCCACATTTCAAAGATGCATGATGAGCATATTTTCTGAGTATGTTGAGAAAATCATTGAAGTTTTTATGGATGATTTCAGCGTCTTTGGTAATTCTTTTGATGGATGCTTGCATAATCTTAGTTTGATTCTAAAACGTTGTGTTGAAACTAACCTTGTTCTTAATTGGGAAAAGTGTCACTTCATGGTTAAACAAGGCATAGTTTTAGGTCATATCATCTCTGAAAATGGCATTGAAGTAGACAAATCCAAAATAGATCTTGTACGTCACTTACCCTCTCCAACTTCGGTTAGAGAAGTTCGTTCTTTTCTTGGCCATTCAGGATTCTATCGTAGGTTTATCAAGGACTTCTCAAAAGTTGCACAACCTCTTTGCCGTCTCTTACAAAAAGAAGTGGCGTTTGAATTCATCACGGAATGCACGGCTTCATTCAATCAACTCAAGGAGTTGTTGACCACGGCACCAATCATTGCTCCACCTGATTGGAGCCTCCCTTTTGAGTTAATGTGTGAAGCATCCGATTATGCTCTAGGGGCTGTTTTAGGGCAAAGGAAAGACAAGAGGCCGCATGTCATCTACTATGCCTCACGGTCATTGAATGATGCACAACTAAATTATTCTACAACCGAAAAAGAACTCTTGGCTATTGTATTTGCATTAGATAAGTTTCGATCATATCTTCTTGGTACTAAAGTCATTGTTTTCACTTACCATGCAGCCTTGAGGTATCTTTTCACCAAAAAGGAGGCCAAGCCAAGACTCATTCGTTGGATGCTCCTACTTTAAGAGTTCGACCTCGAAATTCGAGACAAGAAAGGATGTGAAAACGTGGTGGCTGACCACCTTAGCCGAATGGTAGGTAAAGAAGAGTCCATTCCCATCTTAGAAACATTCCCGGATGAACAACTTCTGTCCATTGAGGTAAAAACCCCTTGGTATGCCGATTTGGTCAATTTCTTGGTGTCTAAGCAAGTTCCTAGTACCCTAAACAAATTCCAACGTGATAAACTTGTTCATGATGCACGCTTTTATGTTTGGGATGATCCATATTTATGGAAATTCTGCCCAGATCAGATTGTGCGTAGATGTGTGCCCGAATCTGATTTTAATTCCATTCTTACATTCTGCCATACTTATGCATGTGGGGGACATTTTGGCAGCCAAAGGACAGCCCTAAAGGTGTTACAATCTGGATTTTATTGGCCTAATCTCTTTAAAGATGCTAAAATGTTTTGTTTAACATGTGATAAGTGTCAAAGAACAGGTAACATAGGGCCTAAGGATCAAATGCCGCAGCAATCTCTCTCATTTGTGGAAATTTTTGATGTTTGGGGTATCGATTTCATGGGCCCCTTCCCTCCATCTTTTGGTTTCACTTACATCTTGGTAGCTGTCGATTATGTTTCCAAATGGGTGGAAGCCAAAGCCACCCGTACTAACGATTCTAAGGTTGTTGCAGATTTTGTGAAATCTAATATTTTTGCTAGGTTTGGGATGCCACGAGTTTTAATCAGTGATGGGGGTTCTCACTTTTGTAACCGCACCATTGAAGCTTTGCTCAAGAAGTACAACGTTACGCATAAGGTTTCAACACCTTATCACCCTCAAACTAATGGGCAAGCTGAGGTTTCAAATAGGGAAACAAGTCCTAGAGAAAACCGTGGGACCCTCAAGAAGAGATTGGAGTTTGCGCTTGGACGATGCATTGTGGGCCTATCGAACGGCTTACAAAACTCCCCTTGGTATGTCACCTTTTCGGCTTATATATGGTAAGCCATGTCATTTGCCCGTTGAGCTAGAGCACAAGGCACATTGGGCTGTGAAAACCTTCAATATGGACATAGACGCTGCTAGGGTTCATAGGAAGCTCCAATTAGATGAACTTGAGGAGATTCGGAACGAGGCTTACGAGAATGCTCGCATCTACAAGGACAAGACCAAGGCTTATCATGATAAGATGCTTCGTACCAAAACATTCTCCAAGGGGCAGAAAGTGTTGCTCTTTGATTCAAGACTTCGGTTATTCCCTGGTAAGTTACGTTTGAAGTGGATTGGACCTCTTGTTGTTACTAATGTTTTTCCTCATGGTGCAGACCAAGTCCAAAGCTTAAAAAGTGGCCACGAGTTCAAGGTAAATGGGCATAGATTGAAGCCTTATTACACTTTGTTTGAGGAGCATGTTGTGGAGGAAACACCCCTCCATGCCGTGGCCTCCCCTGAAGCTTGATGGAGGTGTTCGTCCGGCTGCACGACGTTAAAGCAAGCGCTATGTGGGAGGCAACCCATCCATTCAACAAAGGACGCTCTAGGAATCCCCCAAATTCCAGATTTGCATTCTCAAACCCTTCTCTTTGTTGATTGTTTCTAATCTGCCATGTTATGTTGTTTAGTGGCTGTTTGTGTGTTTCTTTGTGGTTTGTGTGAATTTATGTTTAAAACATTGAGGACAATGTTTGATTTAAGTGTGGGGGGGGTAACTAAGTATATTTGATGCAAATTCGTGGGATTTTATCACCCATAACTTCAAATGTTGTTCCTTGCTGTTTTAAAGTGTTTTTAAGCTGTTTTGGAGTGTTTTAGTGTGTTTTGTTTTATAACTCCGAAAATCACATAAAAATTTGAAAACCATGTTTTGAAAAGCCTAAAAAGAGTGTTTTGAGTCGTTTTTGTGTGTTTGTGTCTTAGGGTACCTTCCAATACAATGATGAGGATTTGGTTTTTAATTGCATGACTGTTAAAAAGAGTTATAAACATGGAGAAAAGTGTGGTTTACTCTTGGTATATGCTTGGTTATGGTTATAATGTTTGAATTCACATGCAATCATAAAAGAAAAATTCGTTTTTGTAACATGCTTGAAGGAAGGAACTCAAACAAATGCTACAACCTTGTGAGACTTGAGCCTAAACGTTATTTGGAGAGTTAAAATCTATGCATTATTGTTTTCTAAAGTCGTTGCATGGTCTCATTATTCTTTGCTTGGTTACTACTTAGAAGGCGTTTCATCATATAGTTCCAAATGCTAGAACTCATGCCCATTTGATTCGAAGCATGTTATTGATTTGCATAACACATATTCAAGAAGAAGTTGTGCAGTGAGCACCACCAAAGCCAAATTGCCGTGTATCCTACTTCATTATATGTTTAAGTTAACCCCGTTGAGCCTTGTTTAGCCTTTATTCATTTGTTAACCCACATTATCCTCACCTAGCCTAGTTTAGGGCAGACCACACCCTTGTTCTTAAGAGATAGTGAGCATGACTTAAATGAATTCCTTTTGAGTTACATTATGTAAGAAAATGAGTGTGGGGGAAGGAATGTTTGTTCTTAAGTTTATATGTATGTTTTGAGATTCAAAAGAAAAGAAAAAAGTGTGAAAAATGTATGAAAAAGAAAAACAGTAAAGAAAAGAAAGAAAGAAAGGAAAAAGAGCTTGAAAAGATGAAAGAATGAGTGATTAAGTGTTGAATGTTGAAGAAAGGGTCCAAAACACCAAATCTGGCCCTAAATTGTCTAAATTCTCCCTTTTTGTTCAAAAGTTGAGTTTGCATTCAAAAGTGAATTCTAAGTTGATTCAAATGCTTTGCTCACTATTTCTTTAAGAACCTTTGTTTTCCATATCACTTCTTTGTTAGCCAAACACCCTAAGCCCCATTACAACCCGTGACTTCAATCTTGAGTGTTATGTGTTTCAATTTGTGGAGTTTGAACTTGGTATGAGCATATGGTGTCAATGGTTCTTGCATCTAAGTAGTAGCATTCCTTTCATGAGATCATATTCATATATACACTTATAACTCCAGAAATTGCTTTCTTTGTGATACATATATGTGAGTGTTCGTTTTCATGTTTACATCAATCTTCTCACATATAACTAGATTAGGGTGTGTAGTCAGAAAATCTGAGTGAAAATTGAGTGCATATCTTGTAAATAATTGAGCAAATTCTCTAAGGCATGTTACTTGATATGAGCATATTTATACGACTTAGTTAGCTTGTTTTCTTGCATTTAATTAGCCAAACTGTGTTAATTATAGTGTTTAAAGTTATTTTCGTGCAATTTCAGGTTTTAGTGTCAAAGTATGCACAAAGAAGCAATTTGGAGCATTCTAGAGCATTTTTGGGCCAAGATTGGATAGTGCAAGCATGGAGGCATGAGGATGGACGAATTTGAAAGGCTTGAATTCAGTTAGGGAGTTGCAAGGGGGCCTAAAAACCTGATTTCTAGAAGGCTACATTGCAGCCACATGCACTTCCATCCTTTAAGCCATTCCACATGCAATTCCAACCTAATCCACATGCATTCATCATCATAACCTAGCTGTCATTCCACCTTTATGCATTCATCATCATAACCTAGCTGTCATTCCACCTTTGTGCCATGACTTCCCCTTCATTCCAGCCATTCCACATGCATTTCCAATCCACATGCCCCTTTAATCATTCAAACATGCACCCTTTATTCTTTCATCATTCCAGCCACTCCACATTCATCACCAACACAATCATCAACAAAAGACCCATTCCTAGCTGTTTTGCACATGCATTTCCTTAATTATTTCAACCACATGCACCCATAATCATTCACACCTTGCAGCCACATGCACATTCACCCCTTTCTCTCCCTATAAAACCATGCAATGCATTCATACAAACCATTCCCATTCATTCACCATTCACGCCAGAAATTCATCCCCTCTCTATAACACATCCATACTTCACCATTCTTCATATTTTCTGCCCAAAAATAAGCCTTGAAGTCCCCTACATCCATCCCTATCCTAAACACATCATTCTACACCATCCATAACTCCCAAAACCTATCCTTAGACCTTGTGCCGCAACAAAGAGGAGGAGAAGGGCCTAAACGTTCATACAATTCAAGTTTGAGTTGTTGGAATTTTTAGGTGTTTCTTTTCCTTGATTTCAATGTTTAATTTCAATTCTCTTTGTTTTGTGCGTATGAGGAACTAAACCCCCCCCCTTGGCTAGGGGGGGATTCGAAATATATGTTTATGCTTGCAATATGATTTGATTACTTCTAATTGCGTTTCATAAGTTGTGAATTCAATTTGTTTAACTGTTTG